AAATTTAAAAAACCTCTATTTCGGAGCACTGGTACACAAATAATGCAATTATCAAGAAAGTGAAAGCTTTAATAAAGGGAGATTACTTTCTAGTGCATACAGTCCCAGCATATGGGAATTCTTGTTATAACTTCTTGTGCAGCTTCTCCTTTCAGTGTTTCTGGAGAATTCAGTTTATTATTTATTTCAATATTCATATGTCTGGAGTTTACAATCTTCTGAGAGTTACCGGTGGAAAAAACAATATATTAAGATTTATGCTTTGCCTCTGTGTAACCGTTTACATTTCCACGTACACTTCGTACACTTCCACCAGAGTTCTGGCCTATTTTAATTGCATCACTGATTTGATTAATGTTCTTTGCCTCAAATAATGCTAAACTGCTGGCTAAATGCTATGAAACTGTATGAACTTAAAATAAAAAGTTTAGGAGAGATCGATATAGGTGGAATCCATGTGCTCAAGTTCTGGATATACTGCCTATTCTCTAGAAAAGCCAAACTTGAAATCTCCCCCTTTGTTGACTTTAAAATTGCTTTGCTGCCTAAAGTTATGTAGCTGGTGTGTTCAGATGTGCTCTGATGGGGAAGATGGGAATCTGTTGTCTACGCTCTGCTGCCCTCCATACAAGATTTAGAAAGTTCCTGAGTAGTTGGAAGATCCTGCTCTGAGCACTACTAACAAAATCTCTCATCTTTAGGTAATTTAGAAATGGAAATGGTGGTATAAAACCATATGTAAAAGAGCTTTTTAAAAGTACTTGCCCAAGATGTAGGAGATCTGGGTTTAGACCCTTGTCAGGCAAAAGGCATTTCAGCCCACTTGATGGCAAAGTGCTGTAAGTAGGAAGCTGTAAGAGAGTTGAGTGGAAGCAACATCCTTGGCCCCTCTTGAGGTAGCCGGAGGAAGGGGGATTTCCAAGTCCTGTTCCTTGGTCTGTCTTACATGTCATGTGAAATGAATAAAACCATATTAGGAAATCCTCTGTAGTACAATAAGCCATTAAATCGCACGTGGGTACTGGAAAGATAGGGAGTTTGGAGACGAGGAGTTTTTTGGGAGGGTGGGGTGGTTTGGTTTTGTGGTTTTTTTTCCCCCCAATCCAATTGGCTTTATCATCCATTAATGTAGCAGGTTTGTTTTGTTTTGTTTGGGGAGTGGAGGGGAATAGTGCATATTTTGCTTTGAGATTTGTTTTTAAGCTTTACACATTTATGAATATTGCTGTTGTAATTTTAAGTATGACTTATTTGACCAGCAGTAGGGTGACCAGTGTTTTGGCCTGCATCTTTCTTGCGAGCATGGATATTGTTCTCAAGGCTTTGAGTTTCCTATCCATATAATGGGGATAAGGAAATTCATGTTATGCTCTGAATGCTGAAGTTCTGTGTCTGAAAAGATCTGTTTCATTTGCTGTCCTAGATCTCCTCTGATTGTAGAAATCTAGTGTAAGAAATCTCCGCTAAACATTTCTTCTTAACTGTGTTTCCCTACCTGTGACTTTTTACAGCTGGGAAACTACTTATGGAAGGAAAAAAAAGAACCACACCAAAAGCCAAAGCCTGTTTACATTCCTTAGCCTGTTTTCATAAAGAAGGGAGGCTGATCTATGTTGTGTGTCTGTGTTTTTCTGTTCTCTCCATCCCCATTGTCCACCACATTATCTTTGAGATTTTTATTCTCTTAAATGAGGTTGAAATTAGCCAGTATGCTAAAAATCAACTTATAAAATTTATCGAAACCAGGCAACTGAATAGACTAAAGGTCGTAGTATGTTGACTGTGGAAAAATTGCAGCATCAATGTTCAGATTATTAGACCCTAGGGAACCCGTATGGGCAGGTGACCTTGCTCTAATTGCAGGAGTAATTAGAGCTTGCAATCATCTGAGACACTTATCCATAGAAGGAGGTTTCGTTAGCTCTACTCAGGAGCTCACTTCTGCAAGCTCAGACACCATAACGTATATTATTTTACTTAGCTCTACTCTCATCTGATTTTGCCCGACTTCCCTTCACACAGCAAAAGATATAAGGATTGTGTGACACAAGTGACTGAGTCCATTTCTATGTGGGAGAGAACTGCTCGTGGAGGAACCCATTCACATACTGGCTCACCAGATGCTTCCATCCAATAGTAAAATATTTTCCAGGAGTACTAATGAAACATGGCGTGCTTTTTTGCCTTGTTACTTACATCCTGAAAGCTTAAAAGGAAAACAATTTTTTTTTCAGCTCATGCCAAATATATGAGATTATTAAAGGCCAAGGACTAACACTCAATATAAAGTTCCTACACAGTCCCCATAACTATGTTATCTGATTGCATGTCTAAAAAGCTGGAGTATATTGTTGGATCACTTTTAGAGGAAATAGAGTTAAATATGAATATGAGGAAGGAAAAAATACTGTATTTCTTAATACATATATTATAAATATGATCTGTGATCCTCTTACGTGTTTATTGTGTTGTAGAACATCTAATGTGCAATTGAAAATGAGAGCTTGGGGGTTGTTTCCCACTGTTCTGAAGCAAAATGGAAAATGTCATACTTTTTTTTATTTTTTCTTTATGCTGCAGGAACTTCATGCACCACTTACTGTTGTAGCTGATGGACTTTTCTCCAAGTTTAGAAAAAACTTGGTCTCCAACAAAGTTACCGTTTCGTCCCATTTTGTTGGTTGCATTTTGAAGGTAACTTCTATGTATGATACTATATAAGCCAGTATGCTACCATTTCTTAATGTGGGTCTGAATTTCACTGAATTGAACACTGTTGTTGTTCATTATCTTTTCCAACAGAATCAATTAGAGCTATGCTTTTAGATATTTATCCAGCTGTCCTATCAGTTTCTGTTTCCCTTTGAGGAGTGTTTGGAAATTTTGGTCTATGTTTTTAATGCTTAAATTATTGATGCATATTCCATCCCAGGTCTAGGATAGCTGAACTTGCTATGTCAGACTTGACATACTTGATACATTTACAAATCAGATTTTCAACTCTTAAAACACTTTTAAGTAACTGTGAGCCAGTTTTGGGTTTGGTTTTTGTGTTTGTTTTTGTTTTTTTTTTAAAGTGGATATTATTGTTAAAAATTAGGTTTCTGGTTTTAAGAGTGGAGTACAGTGTTAATCTTAAGCACATAGTTGAACAAGGGAGGGTTTAAGAAACTGGATTTAAAAACAACTGGATTAGGATAGCTAGTTTAAACTGAGCACTGGACTCACTAGACCAGTTCATAGAAAATACTTTCTTTTTTTTTTTTTAAGGAAAAAAAGTTTCAGCATCTCATAAGGTAGTGCTATGTGTGCTATTAGTGCTATATTTTATATAGCATTAATCTCTGGATTAGAAGTAGGCACCACTATAAAGCTGGAACCCAATTTGTAAAATTATTTCCTTGGATATAGGTGCTTTGACTGGTTTATGTTAAGGTATCGGAAGCTAAGATGGTGACAGTCATTTTTTCACAATACTTATGGCACTTGTTCAGGGAGCAGAAATCTTGAGTTTTAGATCATCCTAGCAGCTGTGGGTCAAACCACCTATATTTTATACTTCAGAAGAATACCCAAACTGTGCTCCTGCCTGAAGGTGGGGTACCTTGTAACCAAGTACATATATACCTTCAGGACCTATAAACTTTTAAGAGAGAAAGTGGGAGTCTAGGTTGGTAGCTGGGTGGTTGGAGAGCTCAGGTAGGAATCCTGGCTGGGTCTTGCCCTCTGAGGCTGCTGCAATAACCATTGGATTAACAGCAAAAATAATTGAGGGAGAAGCAACCAAACAGAACTTCCACTGGACTGGGAACACTGACTTGGAGGAACTTCAGCAATACTTGGGTCCCTGCCCCTATAGTTACCACCGCCCAAGTGCCTCCTCTTTCTCTACTTTTGGAAACTTGTTTAGGACCTGGTTAGATAGGACTGTATGATTCTTCCTCAGTTGGTATCTCCATGTAGTCATATACAGACTAGGGTATTTCTTTCCCTCCCACCACCTTCTCTATGAAAAGAAAACAAAGTGATCTTATGGAAAACTACTACATTGATTACATTACAGGTTTTCAGTGGTATGTATTAAATGCTAGTGAGGTATTCAAATGAAATGTATAACTTAACATACATTCTAGTAAATATTAAAATGTATTGCCAAAAGAATTGTAACTACACTGAAGTTCAGAACTTTCTTTTTGAAAACACTTCTCTTGTTCATTTGAAGAGAAAAATAACACAAACTTACTTTGAAATAAAATCCCATATCATATTATTTCAGAAAATTATTTTTTATATCTGAAGTTTAATATCCTTTCATTAATCAGTCTCAATCTTTCTCCCCCTTCTTTTCTTTTTAAGGATGCACCACAGTTTAAAGCTAATTATGCTGAACTTGTTTTAGCTAAAACTAGTCCAGTGCTAATATATAGGATTTCTTCAACTGAGACTCGGGTCCTTGTTGATATTCGAGGGGAAATGCCAAAAAATTTAAAAGAATACATGATTGAGAACATTCATCCACAACTACCTGGTAAGTCTGGAAAGAGTTCCATCCATAATTGTCACAATTAAATGTGCCAAAAAAGGCACATTTCATTGAATCCATTGAACTGTGTGGGCTTTTTCCATGTGTGCAATTACTGTTTATAGGATTATATCTCTTAAAAGAGGTTAAAAAGGGTTGTGTGCATATTATTTTAGACTCTAAGTAGTGTAACTTAAAAATTTGGTTATTGCAGATCACTTAAAGGAACCATTCATAATAGCAGTTCAGAATGATCGTTTAAGGACTATGCCAGCCAGCTTCTTGCCTCCTTCAGCTGTTAACAAAAAAGGTGTGTATTATGAAATAAAAGGAGGGAAAAAGGCATTATAAACTTCTCCTGGGACTTAAGGCTTTGTTGTCATAGACATATGTTTCTTGTGCAATACAACTGTCTCATAATTCTTCTGTGAAAAACAGTATTTTGAAAATGTGTACCTTCAGCGTAGTTTAATTGGAATGTTTATATTCCACCAGACTTCACCACAGTGCCTGCCTTGTTTTTAAGTTTAAGTCAGTCAGTTGCTCAAGCTCATACAAGTGTGGTCTTTTTAAGCAAAACTTCATTAAAAAAGTAAAGAAATTACCTTGGAAAGGGGGTGTGTGTGTGTGTGTGTGTGTGTGATTGTGGTGTTTGACAGACACATGCATACCTATAGGGAAAAAATATTTTGACCTTGATCACCTTAAAGCCTTTTTAAGCCTGTTAATTTCAAGACATCCTGTTTTTTTTTTCTTTCTTTTTTCTTTTTTAATTTTTAGTTGTTATTCATCTTATTTTCTGGTGGGAATGAATTCTTAGTAAGTTTGATTTTTAAAAAAAATTAGAGGGTTTGAGTTCTGATATTACATAATGGTCATGCAGTATCCCATTAATTTTTCTCTTCTACCTAGGTGTTCTTCTTTTAGGAGATGCATATAATATAAGACACCCTCTAACTGGTGGAGGAATGAGTGTTATTTTAAACGATGTTAAAATCTGGAGAAGTTTGCTCCAGGATATTCCAGACCTTTATGAAGATTCTGATGTTCTTAAGGTGAAGCTTTATTTTGGACTTATTTTAGGCAGCTTTTGCTGCAATTTAATGACACACTTCTAATTTTTATGCAACTTGGGGACACGCAAGTTATTAGTGAAGTACAGCTGTTTTCAAAGCTTTGGATAGATAAATCATACATTAGGGATTCACCAGTAAGTGGAGCGGCAATTTGTGAGCGCTATGGCTGTGTGGCAAAAGGCAGATTCAAAACTCTGCTTACTGACCTGTCGTGTTTTGCTTAAGGAGACTGGTGTGCTGTGTCTAGTCAGCATGCTTTGCTAGCATAACCTGATATTCCCATATTAGCAGTGTATTTGTAACATAGATTGGTCTTAAATGGAGTGGGTTTGGACCATTACACTTGTGTGAGTGGTACTTAGAGAATAATGAGCATATGTACTGAGTTTTTCAAGACGCATCTCAGTGCTCCACTAGCTTCTTGGCTGCTGCATTAATCTCAGAGTAGTAAGTTAGAAGACATCCTTCTTTCCCAGGAATCAGCACCATCAGTGTTGATGCTGGGTTTATTTTTTCAGTGAGATTTACACCCAAAATTCTGATGAGTAGATAATAAGATTTCTTTTTTTTTTTTTTTACTGCTTTTAATCGCGTTAGGCATAATATCTTGGCTAAATTATAGCTAGAATAATTACAGACAAGTAAATAATTCAAGTGTATTTGAAAATTGAGAAGCACTTAGAGGGAACCCTGAATGTTAGGACAATACAGGAGTTACCTGACCAAATGCAGATACTTACATCTCAGCTAGTCACCTCAGACTTTCAGTTATTTCCTACTTATTCTCAGTCAACAGAAAGAACTAGGTGAGTGTTACCCTTCAAGTTTCTGACCTACCTCAGCCACCTGCTATAGGATGAGATCAAGCACACCCTGGAACTACCTTTTTTTTTTTTTTCTCTATATTTAGTGTAAGAGGAGCCTAGATAACTGGTTCGACAAGTTTCCAAAGTTGCTTAATGACCTAGCTTAGAGCCGATCTAGTGTATCATTAAATCCACTCTACATTTTCATGAGTATGACTCTTACCTCCTCTTTGGGAATTTTTTGAATGCTCTTCTGTATTGACTGACAGAAATACTTCTTTTTTCCCCCCCTTTTCAGGCAAAAAGAACATTTTACTGGTCAAGAAAAAAATCTCATTCTTTTGTAGTGAATGTTCTTGCCCAGGCACTTTATGAACTCTTTGCTGCCACAGATGGTAAATATATTTTAAAGATAACTTCTGACGAATTACAATGTGATAAATAAGTATACCTGGGGAGGGGATGTGTATGTGTATGAGCATATGTCCATGTGTTTATTTGTATATATTTATATATGTGTGTATATATATATGTATATAGATATATATTAAAAATACATCAATCAGAGGATTTTAATGAGTTAGCTTGTGTTCTCTGCATAGTTGTTTAGTTCTAGTGTTATGTAAACTGAGTTTTAGCAATGTGAAGGCAAGTCTGGAGTTAGTATTAAAACAACAAAACCAAAGAAAAACCCCACAAACAACAGAAAAAACAGAAATACACTTGTTCTTGTGTCAGTTAATATTCAAGAATATGTAGATATTCTATAAGACTATCCTTTACTTAAATAAAACTAGCTCAAAATCCCGCTGAATTTAACAGAACAACAGCTTACCGCAGTCCTGGATTTAATATCGCTGTTGCGTATGCTGAAAAAGTTTTTGATATGTGTTGAATATATTTATTGAGTCATTTTAATTCATTTTGTAGATTCCTTGCATCAGCTAAAGAAAGCCTGTTTCCATTACTTCAGACTTGGTGGAGAGTGTGTCTCGGGTCCTGTTGGACTGCTGTCTGTGTAAGTTCAGTGTGATGATAATGTGAACCGGGTCGAGCATTGTGAGCCTCTGTGGGGATCTGCTTTGCTCCCAATCGGATGGCTCTGCACAGGGAGAATTACAGAATCATTTAGGTTGGAA